ATCAATGATTCTCTCTCATTGATGCTTCTATCTCTCTCTCCCTCTCTCTTCCTCTCTGAAATCAATAAAAATATTTTTTTTAAAAACACACACAAGGCCCTAGCCGGCTTGGCTCAGTGGATAGAGCATCAGCCTGTGGACAGAAGGGTCCCAGGTTCAATTCCGGCCAAGGGCACATGCCTGGGTTGCAGCTAGATCCCCAGTGGGGATTGTGCAGGAGGCAGCCGATCAATGATTCTCTCTCATCATTGATATTTCTATCTGTCTCTCTTTCTCTCTTCCTCTCTGAAATCAATAAAGAATATATTTTAAAAAACAAACAAAACACACACACACACACACACACACACACACACACACGAAACAGACTGATTAAAAATATCTATAATAGATTTAATTTGCAAAAGGTTTACTAGCCAGAATACATAAAGACCTAAAAATCAAGAGGATAAAGACAAAGAAAAATAAGCAAAGAAAGTGAATAGGAAGTTCAGAGAAAACATGAAAATGGTAAATAAACTTGTAAGAAGATGCACAACCTCACTAGTAATCAGGAGAAAGTAAATTAAAACAAGTAATTTCTTTGCCCATTAAATTGGTAAAAATGAAAAAGTGACAAGTTATTGAAGATTTGGAAAAACGGCCACTCTCAATTTGTGACATCTTTTAGGAGACAACTTGGCTGTATCTGTTACAATTTTAAATGGGTACAGGGAGGGACTAAGAAGATGCCTACCAAACTGTTAACTTTACAGGGGAGTTAGGAGGACTTTTACATCTGCTTTGTAACTTCTATTAAAGAGAGTACTCAAGGTAAAAAAAAAAAGGGGGGGGGGTCTATATCCTTTGACTCAGTAATACCACTTGTAGAAATTATTCCTAAGGACAGATTCAAAAGAAAAATACATACCAAATATTTATTGTGATTTCATTTTTAAAATGCCAAAAAATAGGAAACAATAAAGATGTTTAACAATAGAGAAAGCATTAACAAATGATGGCCTTACCACTAAATGAATCACTTTACACCATTAAAATAATAACGCGTTTGTTTTTTGCACTAATACAAAAAACACACTGTCATAAGTGAAAAAAGAGAAATACAAACCAGTATGTAAATTGTAATTACAATTGAGAAATGTACATGTAAAATTCTGTAAGGGAACTCCCCTTTCTCCTGTGTTCCCCAGATCAAATCAGTCACCCAGTCCTGTCAATCTCACACTTCTGACATCTCTCTCAAATCAGTCCCCTTCTTTCACAGCACTGTCTTAGCTCAGTTTTTCTCATCATCTTTTTATTGCAACCACCTCCCAACTGGTCTTCCTGAATCTGGACACATTTCTTCCTGGCAGTCAGTCAACAAGTGTTATCTTTTTAAAAGAACAACACAAAAACAAAATCTTATTTCCCTGATTAAAATCTTTGAGTTTGCACAATGTACTAAATAAAGTCCAACTGCCTTGGCTTGACACATGAGTCCCTCCATGGGATTCTGAATGCTTCTTCAGGCTCATTACCTGCCACACACTCAATAATCCTTCCCCTCTACCAGCCAAACTAAACCCTTGGAAGCTTCTGAAATGCCATCATGGTCCCCATCTGTATGTCTTTGCATACGCCCTTCCCTCTGGCTGGAAGGACATCCATATAGGCCGGCCTCAAACCTCAGCTCAGGCGCTGTATCCTTGGAAAAGCCTGTCTTCACCATCCATGCTTGATAGATTTCTGAGTACTCCCACTGTACCTTGTGTTCTACTTCACACATTGAACGTTATTTATTTAATAGAGGCCCAGTGCACAGATTCGTGTACATTGAAAGGAAATTAATTAGAAGAAATATTTTGCAGGTTGGGGAGGAACTGTAGGAGGGCTCCAGGGCATGCCCAGCCCGTCTAGCCCAGTCCTGATAGGCCGGACTCTAGCAGCAAGCTAACCTACCAGTCTGAGCGTCTGCCCCCTGATAGTCAGTGCACGTCATAGTGACCGGTCAAAGGGTTGAACAGTCAGACACTTAACATGTTAGGCTTTTATATACATAGATGTTCACATCTGTATCCTTGCTAGATGGTGAACAACTTGAAACAAGGGTCCATGTCTTACAAATCTCTGTATTTCCCATGCTTGGTACATCGTAAGTGTTCATTTTACTTGTTTATTTATTTATTCATTCATTAAATGTTTTAATTGATTTCCAGTAAGTGTTCATTTTAAATTTTGTCCAAAGTAATCTTTAATGTTATTACTTTGTTTCTAGCCATTATTTTTTTAAAAAAAGTCTTCTTTGCAGAAGCAAAAATTGACAAACTGATCCAAAAATTCATATGGCAATCCAAAGGATCCAGAATAGCCAAAACAATCTTTAAAAAGAATAAAGTTGGAGGACTCATATTTTCTGATTTCAAAACTTACTACAAAGTTATAGTGATCAAAACAGTGTGGTACTAACATAAGGATAGACATATAGATCATGGAATAGAACTGAGAGTCCAGAAATAAACTCATACATCTATAGTCAACTGATTTTTTTTTTAAATCCTCACCCAAGAAGTTTTTATTGATTTTTAGAGAGAGGAAGGGAGAGAGAGAGAGAGAGAGAGAGAAACATCGATTGGTTGCCTCCTGTATGCACCCTGACCAGGGATTGAACCCATAACCTATGTATGTGTTTTGACCTGGAATCAATCCTGCAACCTTTTTGTGTACAGAAGAATGCTCCAACCAACTGAGCCACCTGGCCAGGGCATGTGGTCAAGGGTACCACGACTACTCAATGGGGAAATAATAGTCTTTTCAACAAAACATGATGAGACCACCTGCAAAAGAATGAAGTTGGACCCATCCTCACACCATACATAAAAATTAATTCAAAATGGATCATAGAACACTGGCTGGTGTAGCTCAATTCGTTGGAGTGCCGTCCTTTATACCAAAAGGTTGTGGGTTTGATTCCCAGTCAGAGCACATACCTGGGTTACAGGTTTGATTCCCCCGTTGGGGCACGTGTGGAGGGCAACTGGTTGATGTTCTCTCTCACATTGATGTTTCTCTCTCTCTCTTCCCCTCTCCCTAATATCAATGAGCATATCCTCGGGTGAGAATTAAAAAAAATAAAGGATCCAAAAAAACAAAACAAAACAATAAAAATGTAAGAAAAAATAATAATTTTTAAAAAGGATCATAGATATAAAAGCTAAAACTATAAAATTCTTAGAAGAAAAAAATAGAAGTAAATCTTAGGGAACTTGGGTTAGGCAAAGTTTTCTTAGATATGCTACTACCACAAGCAACAATAGAGAAAAAAAAAGATAAGCTGGAATTGATCTAAGTCAAAAATGTTTGTGCTTCAAAGAATACCATCAACAAAGTGAAAAGAACCTAGAGAATGGGAGAAAATATTTGCAAATCACACATCAGATAAGAGACTTGTAGCTAGAAAATATAAAGAATGCTTACAACTAAATTAAAAGACAAATTACCCAATTTTAAAAATGAGCAAAGACTCTGAATATATCTTTCTCCAAAAATATGCCAATGGCCAATAAACACAAGAAAAAATGCTCAATATCATTAGCCACCAGGAAAATGCAAATCAGAATTACAGTGAGACACTAGTTCACATTGACTAGGAGGGCTATAATAAAAAAAGACAGATAATAGCAAGTGTTGGAGTAGATGTGGAGAAATGGAACCCTCCTACACTGCTGATGGGAGTATAAAATGGGAGAGCCACTTTGAAAATACTCTGGCAGTTCCTCAAAAGATTAAACAGACTTACCATATGACCCAGCAATTCCACTCCTGGTTATATACCCAAGAGAAATCAAAATATATGATCACACAGAAACTTGCACACAGCTGTTCACAGCAGCATTATTCATAACAGCCAAAAAGTGGAAACAATCTAAATGCCAATTAAATGATAAATGCACAAATAAAATGTGTAGTAGTCATACAGTGAATACTATTAAGCAAAATAAGTACAAAATTTATGTACTACAACATAATGCTAAGTGAAAGAAGCCAATCACAAAAGACCATTATTATATGAAATGTCCAAATAAGCAAATCTACAGAGACAGTAAGTAGATTAGTGGTTGCCTGGAGTTGGGAGGTTAGGAGAAAAAGGAGAATGACTGCTAATGGGTACTGAAATGAAAATGTTCTAAAATTGTGATGATGGCTGCACACTTTTGTGAATATGTGAAAAATCATTTAGTTGTACATTTTAAATGAAATTTATGGCATGTGAATCATTTCTCAATAATACTATTACATGTCAGATACATTCCTTTATTCTTGCTCTTTGATCACAGATGTCTACCTAGACATACAAAGACCTACCCCACATATACATACACATATGTGATTCATAGGAGAATCTTAGAATGATAGTGTTGAAAAGGACCTCAGAAGTCACTCCCAATTATTTATTTATTTATTTATTTATTTAAATTCTCACCCGAGTGAGAATTTAATATTTTTCCCCCATTGATTTTTAGAGAGAGTAGAAGAGAGAGGGAAAGACAGAGAGAAATATTGTATAGATGTGAAACACATCAACCAATATTTTTATTGATTTCAGAGAGGAATGGAAAAGGAGAAACAGAAACGTCAATGATGAGAGAGAATCATTGATCAGCTGCCTCCTGCACACCCCCTACTACTGGGGATCGGGCCGGCAACCTGGGCATGTGCCCTGACCCAGACCGGGAATCGAACTGTGCGGTGTGATGAACTGTGACCTCCTGGCTCATAGGTCGACACTCAACTACTGAGCCACACCAGTCGGGCCATCTCCCAATTTTTTAGATAAGGAACCTGCGGCCGAATCTCACACAGGAATTAATGGAACCCACCGACTCACTCTCACTCCTTATTTTCCCAGAAGACTTTAAGCGCTTTGGATGATATCTAATTGTTTTCTGTATCCTCCATAGCACATAGAGCTGTGTCACACACATAGCAGGCACTGAAGACATTAGTTTAACACAGCGGTTCTCAACCTGTGGGTCGCGACCCCTTTGGCGGTCGAACGACCCTTTCACAGGGGTCGCCTAAAATCATCCTGCATATCAGATAGTTACATTACGATTCATAACAGTAGCAACATTACAGTTATGAAGTAGCAACGAAAATAATTTTATGGTTGGGTCACAACATGAGGAACTGTATTTAAAGGGCCAGAAGGTTGAGAACCACTGGTTTAACTGAACAGAACATGCTTCTTAGACATCCCTGAGAAAAAGCTGCCTCTATGAGGAGAAGGCTGGAGGAATGAAGAGGGATGACAAAGAACATTAGGTCAAATCTAGCCCATGTCATCACACCTCCAAGAATAGAATCAAAGAACCCCAGAGCTAGAAGGGAAGAGAGAAAACATTTATAGAGAACCTACCCAGCGGGCATCATTTTCACTGTAAGTATCTAGTCCTCATCACAGTAGGAGTGACTAAGGGATGTGCCTAAGGTCACCAGGTTGGTGAGTTGAGGGGCAGGCCCCACCCCTGAGTGTTCTGATGTCCAACCCCACAATCCTCCATCTCACCTTTCAATCCCATCTGACTACCCCGCACCGTGGCTTGAAATGTCTTTGTCTTGTTCCTGCCTGGACCATCTCCGAAGTTCAAGGTGGTCAGCAAGCCCACCACGTGGGACCCGTGCCACGTCCCTGTGACTGTCGCAGTCGTGGGGCACAGGGTCAGCTGGCCGACAGATCTCAAGAAGGAGACCCAGTCCTGTGTGCAAAAGGAAGGTGGGAGAGAGGTGAGAGAGCAGCAGCAGGAGCAGGCCTCCACGGGGCAGATGAGCAGGAGGTACTCACCTGAGGGATGTCAGGGCTGCGCAGGCCAGTCCTGTGAGTGAGAAGGAAGCCACCAAGGCCCAGGCCAGAGAGGCCAAGCAGCAGCAGGATCAAAGTGGCACAGACCAGAGGTGGGTGGTGGGCCAGACAGAGAGCAGGTTGTAGCCCTGCCTGACAGCTGCCCATGGGGAGCAGAGGGGTCTGGGCCTCCACGGGAAACCTGCTGGAGCACAGGAAGGGAGAACTGGGCAAGAGCCTGCCAGGCAGAAGGCACTTACCCATGTTCCTCAAAGGGAAGCTAAAGCACCCAGGAGACCAGGGCCGCGCCCACCACCACGGACAGTGGCAGAGCCAGGACAAGAATCCAAGGCTCTCGACTCCAAGCGCTCACCGCCCTGCACCACGCAGCGAATGTTTGCTGCATTTAATTTCTGAAGCAATCAAGGCGGAAGTGGGGAGCATACTGTGCTGGAAAAGGGAACCCGAAAAGGAGCATTCTTAAAAGTAGAAATTCAGGAAACAGCTGTTCTGGGCCTAGGGTTTGGCTGCAGAACAGCCAATAGCCCAAAGGAAGCGTCTGACGAAAAGAAACCCACTTTGAGGTCAAACCGCTCCGCTTGAATCCTCCCCTGCCCTTCCATGGACACGTGAGAAAACTCAGTCCAACTCTGGGAGGTTAGCATATGTGCAATGGGAGTGCTAACCCACGGAACCAGGACTGAACGTGGCAGATAGAAGCGGTTTGCATAGTACGTGGCCACGCAGGAGCTCAACAAATGTCCATTTCTTTTCTATTTTTTTCTGTGCCATATTTATCTTCAGGAAAGGTGAGGCAAGGCGGAAACGGAGGCTTGCGGACTTGAACACAGGAGTGGCAGGGCCACGGTCTGAAGCCCGGCCCCGATTCCAAGCGGAGTGCTCGTTCCCAGGCGGGAAGCGACAGCCTGATGCCAAGGAACATCTGGAAAGGGGCGGAGGGGAGCAGCGCGCCAGCAGTGCAGGTGTCACCACGCTCAGCCCCGGCCCGGCCTCCCCTCCCAGCTGGTTGGCAAAGAGGGGGAAGCGGAGGGGAGGGGGCAGAGCCTGCAATTACTTAGAAATTCATGTATATATAGTAAAATATAAGTACACATGTGTAAATTAAAAAATAAATAAATAAATTACTGATTTTTGGTTTTTCGTTTTTACCAAAGATGAAAAATATGCAGTCTGTCCTAAAAACAAATAAAAAGCTGAGCAAACAGAAAAATCAGCAACTCTTCTTACCTCCAGCAGAGAAGTGATGTCAAAGGGAAAATTATTGGCCCCAAACTGAAGAAACAGAGAAGTCAGTTCAGAATACCACAACTCACCAGAGCAGAAAACTATGAGCAAGAACCTCCTTGAGAGAAAGTGCTTGGGGGGAGAGGGGGGTGGGGAGAGAAACAGCATCTGAAATAGATGAATTGCTGGAGGCAGGGTGATAATTCTGAAATTAAAAACTTCAGACAGAGTAACCTAGAAGAAATAGATAAATTCCTAGAAACTTACAACCTACCAAGAGTGAATCATGATGAAATAGAAAATCTGAGCAAGATGATTATTAGTAAGGAGGTTGAATTAGTAATAAAAACAAATAAACTGCCGGGGTGCGGCCAGCCGGGACTTTGGGCTTGCAGGCGGGCCAGGTCTCTTCCCTGCAGCCTGATTATGTTGACCGTCTCCATGTCAGGTCGGCCCTGGCTTTTAGGGGCTCCTTAATGCAGAGGGTCCTACAGGCTGCAAAAGACACCATCGCATTTCCGTTCTGCCCACATTTCAGAGTTCTGCCTGCCGAGGTCCGTCCGACGTGAAATAACCGGACGCCGGGAGCAGGACCCTGTATGCAAACCCTGGCTCTGTTCGGCCGCTGCATAAACCATGACCAGGCTCTTGTGGGGACTGGGTTTATCCTGTTAAAGAGGGTCTTTCTGCTAGTGCATTCCTCCGTGGTTGGGTGGGAAGCTGAGACACTGTGGGGAACATGAGCCCAGTGTTCGCTGAGCACAAAACCAGCACCGGACAAACACTGTTGCAACAGAATCTGAGTATTCAACTCAGGCTTCCTTACGGCAGAGACCAGGCCATATCTGCACCACCACCTCCACACGTTTATCGTACAGAATCCTCTCATATGTGGTCAGATGACACTTGGCAAGGGTGCCAAGGCCATTCTGTGGGGGGACAAATAGTCTTATTCAACAAATGGTGTTGGGAAAACTGGATATCCATGTACAAAAGGACGAAGTTAAACCCTTACCTTTACAACATATACAAAAGGTATTTCAAAATTCATGCAAGAACTAAATGTAAGAGCTGAAACTATCAAACTTTTAGAAGAAAACGTAGGGGGAAACCTTTATGAGATTGGATTTGGCAATGATCTTGGATATGACACCAACAACACAGGCAACAAAAGGATAAACTAGATAAATTGCACTACATCAAAATTTAAAACTTCTGTGCATCAAAGGACACAACAGCCAATTGATGATTCTCTCTCATCATTGATGTTCTTCTCTCTCTCTCTCTTCCTCTCCCTTCCTCTCTGAATCAATAAAAAAGAGTAAAGATACATTACAAGCTCAACAAACTTCAAATAGTATAAACTCCAAGTAGGGTAAATTCAGAGAGACCCACACTGACACATTATAAACAAACTGTCAAAACCCAAAACTAAACAGAAAACCTGGAAAGCAGCAAAAGAGAAGTAACTTGTACAAGGGATTTTTCAATAAGAAAAATGCCAATATTTCATCAGAAGTCATGGTGGTCAGAAGTCAGTGGGATAACATACTTAAGTGCAGAAAGAAAAATCTGTCAACCAAGAATTCTATATCTCGCAAAATTGTCCAATAATAAAGGAGAAATTGAGACTCCCACATAAACAAAAGCTGAGAGAGTTTATTACTAGTAGACTTGCCCTATAAGAAATGCTAAAGGGAGTCCTTCAGGCTTAAGTAAAGGGGCACTTTTGCTTAAAATTTATGAAGAAATGAAGACTACTTATAAAGGTAACTACATAGGTAAAATATAAAAGTCAGTATTGTATTTTAGGTTTTGTAGCTCTTCTTTTTCCTATAGGATTTAAAAGACAAATGCATAAAACAATAATTATAGATCTATCTTAATCAACACACAATGTATAAAGATATAATTTGTGACAATCTCTATATATAAGAGGCTAATATGCAAAGTGTTCCCTCAGGAGTTCCACTGGGAGACCGGAAGTTCAATTGCTCGCTATGATGTGTGCTGGCCACTAGGGGGTGGTGCAGAACGAAGGAAGGCCCTGGCCCGTAGCCCGTTGCAGGCTCTCATAATCTCTCATCAGGACTCTTGCAGCTGTCTCCTAACCCTCCTCACCGACTCCAGTTTCTCTTCCCTTCAACTCATCATCCACGTTGCCTCCTAAAAGAGTGCTCTCGAGATTCTGCTGCTCTACTAAAGACTTCTGTTAACTTTGGGAGAAAGTTCTAATTTCTGGTACATATAAGATCCTTACAACCTAGCCTCAATCCTCCTTTCCAGCATCATTTTTCACTCCAGCCACATAAATGTCTTTCAATTCTAGCTATTCCACACCACCATATTTTATTTTTTTAAATATATTTTTTATTGATTTCAGAGAAGAAGGGTGGGGGAGAGAGAGAGAGAGAGAGAGACATCAATGATGAGAGAGAATCATTGATCGGCTGCCTCCGGCACACCCCCTTTTGGGAATTGAGCCCCCAACCTGTGCATGTGCCCATCCTGGGCATGTGACCTCCTGGTTCATAGGTGGACCACTGAAGCCCGCCAGCTGGGCAACACTGCCATATTTTTAGGTAGTACTCTCCTCTCCTTGTGAAACACACTGACTGACTTCTACCTGTACACACTTTATCTTTCTTCAAGACCAACCTCACAGGTCACAGCCTCTGTCTGTTTTCCCCCACTCTCAGAATTGAACCTCCACCCCCATCATGTCTTTGCAACACTCCATCCATTACAGTACAGAGCACCCTGCATTTTAACGTTCTTGTAGAAAGTCTGTCGTCTTTGGATTGTGAATTCCTGAAAGGCCAAGACTGTGTCACATCCTCCTCATCTCTATAACCTCAATGCTCAACAAGGTACCGGCCACGTGGTAGTCTCAAAATGTTGGTGAGTTTCTTCTCCCATTCCCCTCAGCAACTGTTCTAAATCTCTGCCATTCTCCTCAAATCCTTTACCCAACCTCTGAAACTTCCATCTGAACTGTCAGCAGATGACCTCACCAGAAAGAGTCCATCACCCATGAAATCTTTTAACTTGCTGCCCTTGCCACACACCCCTGCGCCCCACGGACACATTTCATACATATACATCCAAACTTTCCTCCTCGCCGCTGTTTACAGAGGAAGCTCTGTCCCTCCTCCAGCTCCCGGCCAGTTCTTTCACTGTCCTTCAGATCCCCTCTTACCGCCTCAGTGCTTCCTCAGTCATCCTTCTCTCCTTTCCCACCGGAATTCATTCAACAAATATTCACAGAGCAACTCTGTGCGCTTGGATGCTGGAGTTATAATGGAGAATGCGTTAGGTAATGTTCCATACCTCATAGAGCAGTGATGGCAAACCTTTTGAGCTCGGCGTGTCAGCATTTTGAAAAACCCTAACTTAACTCTGGTGCCGTGTCACATATAGAAATTTTTTGATATTTGCAACCATAGTAAAACAAAGACTTATATTTTTGATATTTATTTTATATATTTAAATGCCATTTAACAAAGAAAAATCAACCAAAAAAATGAGTTCGCGTGTCACCTCTGACACGCGTGTCATAGGTTCGCCATCACTGTCATAGAGCTTCCATTGTAATGAGAAATGTAGACAAATAATTTTGCAATGGATATGGAGGAAATGAATACGAAGATGTAGGGAATAAGAGACAGGTCACTTTATTAATTTTTTTTATTCCTCACCTAAGGATATGTTTATTGAATTTTTTAGAAAGAGAGGAAGGGAGGGAAAGAAGAGAGAGAGAGTGAGAGATCAGTTGCCTCTCATATGGGCCCGGACTGGGGATTGAACCCACAGCCTTTTTGGTGTACGGGACAACACTCCAGCCAACTGAGCCACCCGACCAGGATCAGGCCACTTAAGTAAGGAGGTCAGAGAAGGTGTTTTTGTGCCAGTGACCTTTGAGCTCATGCCTGAAGATGCGAGTGAGTTTTCTGCATGACAGTCTAGAGCAGCGGTTCTCAACCTGTGGGTCGAGACCCCTTCGGGGGTCGAATGACCCTTTTACAGGGGTCGCCTAAGACCATCCTGCATATCAGATATTTACATTACGATTCATAACAGTAGCAACATTACAGTTATGAAGTAGCAACGAAAATAATTTTATGGTTGGGTCACAACATGAGGAACTGTATTTAAAGGGCCAGAAGGTTGAGAACCACTGAAATAGAGGCTATAATTTTTTAAAAGATCAATGAAATTAAAAGTGGTTTTTTTGAAGACATACACACATTTGAAAATCCTTTAGACAGACTCATCAAAAAAAGAGAAAGAGTCCAAATAAATAAAATCAGAAATGAAATAAAAGTTACAACTGATACCACAGAAAAACAAAAAATAAGAAACTATTGTATACTAAAGGCCCGGTGCACAAAATTTGTGCACGGGTAGGGTCCCTCGGCCTGACCAGCGATCAGGGCTGATCTGGGGGGTACCAGCAGGGTGATCAGGGGGTCCCTGCTGGCACCTGCCTTGGCTGGCCTGGGGCCTGTGGGCTGGGGCAGCTCCTGCACTGAGTATCTGCCCCCTGTGGTCAGTGCACGTCATAGCAACCAGTTGTTTCACTGATCGTTCCACCTTTTGATCAATTTGCATATTAGGCTTTTTTTTATTATTATTCATAATAAAAGCCTAATATGCAAACTGTCCCCTCGACTTGGAGTTCGACCGGAGACGGTGCCAGCTGGGAAACTGCGTGAGGCCCCTCCCCCTGGTGAGCCCTGCCCCTGATCAGCGCAGGGCGGGCTGGCCAACCTCCTGTGACCCCTCCCCCCCAGCCAGCCCCACCCCCCGAAAAAAAAA